AAGGAATAACGACGTGAAGGAGATGCTTGAATATGAATGTTTTTCCTCAAGAATAAATAGAATTCATCAATAGGATAATAAAGTTTTCCGCATTTTTCAAACGCCGGTTTTCCACCCTAAGGAGGCACGCAGATATCGAGAGATCCCATTATCCATGACGCCGGTAAAACGGCACTAGCGTCCCCTCAATTGTCTGTCAGTCAACCATGTCAGAATTTGCCTAATGCATTCATTCCATACTTCTTCTTTTCCTTTATATCACTGTTTGCGTGCATGTGTCGTTAATTTCCTTTTTTGTTATACGCTTTGGATCTTTTTAAGTTTTGTCGAAGCTATTCATTATCCAGCAACCTTTTCAATCATTTAAATCAAATGTAAACAAATCAGCTTACTCATTTTTCATTGTTTTTAAATTGATATTATTAATACTTCAGTATGTTTAGAGAATGGTAGATTTTCAAGTTTATTAACAGTAGCTTGATGCTGTTATTTTCGTTCATTCTTACCTTCTAAAAAATAGAAATACATTGCTAATCCCTGCAGCGACGTCTTAAAAATACCTGTTTGGAAAATGCCTTGTACAAATGTGTATCAAAAAAGTATCACTGCCTGTCCTACTATATAGACTAGATAAAAATTTAATAAACTCTTCAAAAGGAAGTTAAATTAAATTATTTAATTGTGAAATATTCATTTTCGTCCGATATCTTATCGAATATTTTGTTCACATAAGACAAAACACTATTATCGTGAAAAATCATGGTCACACTTTTTTTAAGCGAGTGAAATAGGATAGTGTTTATGAACGAATTGTTATTAAACATTTTTACAATAATTCTACCTGGGTATGTATACACCATGGATGTACGAAATCTTTATAAGAGTATCACTTTCTAAATCGTAAAACATAAAATTTTTCAAGTACGGTGTAGAACTCCTGACATTATGACGTCACCTTTGCATCAACTTTGTTACCTGAACATTGGGATAGGTAGCTTTAATGTAATGGTGACAGACGGAGGGCACTTTTTGGGACAGCTATCAGAGTTTGGATACACATGATATGTCATCTAATTTATGCAATAAATAGCTTCAACATACGGAATACGGTAATTTGCAAATCTTGCTATTGTATCAATCTTTTGTTAGTCGTATTATTGCTATTACAAACACAATCAAACTGATTTTGTGAAATCAGTAGATAATACTATTTACCTATTGTTTAAAATTGATTCAGATGAATCGGTATATCCACTTGCTATTTATTTATTTTATTCTATATTATACCGTATATAAGAAATTCTATACAAACCTTTATTTCTCCGCAGATTCGATAAAATCCTATACGTTATTATCGTCGTCAACATTTCCATCTCCCTCAATCTATAAACAATTTTATTTGGTAGAATATAAAAGTTGCGATAAAGTTTGCTTATGGCTGAAGTCTTATACGATATACGCGATTATATTTGGCCAAAATCGATTTTTTAGAAAATATACGCCTGTAAGAGGGTTCGATAGAAGCGGAAATTATTTTTTCGAAGTTTCATATTGTTAAATCCGGTTTTTACATGTTTTCTTTTTAGTTATGGTTAGAATTTATCGAATAATAAAAATACCTTTTATATTACAAGGAACTGAGTCGAACATGGTTTATAAAAATTGTACTACAGCTGTAAAATGCCATTAATACCAAATCACAGGATTTTAAATTTTAATTTATTTAAATTGGCTAACCATCTGAAGGTTAACGAGGTTATTGTAAAATACCAGAGGTTGTAGTGGAAGAAGATCTAGTAGTCACTCTATTGCTGTAGTGGGTGGACTTGTAAAGATCCCAGTTGTAACTATACAGCCCAGTCTTTACTGATTAGCAAGTTACAACCGGTAGTACAACCTAAGTATAAGCCCCATGTCTTACATCATAGTTTTGCTGGCATTTGCTTCCTTTCAGGTCAATAACCTTATAGATTGAAACGAAGCTAAAGACAAGAATCTCACTGAGCTTAGGTAAACATGTGACAGTATTCCAGGCAGAAATAGCAGCAATACATCACTGCGCAAAAGAGACAGAAGGTAAATGGAAAACCCATTGTTATATACTCAGACAGTCAATCGACGTCAAAGGCACTAAGTTTCATGCAGGTACAAGTGTGGGACTGTTTGGAAACCCTAATAGAACTGGGTGGTCAAAACAGACTAACCTTAACCTGGGTACTAAGCCACAGAGGTCATAAGGGCAATGAAGAGGCTTATTTACTAGCCCGAGAAGAAGCCTCAAATACTCTTATTGACTCAGAACCCTTCTGTGATGTAATAACTATCAAAACATGTACAAAGCAGTGGATATTTAAAAGATCTCAGGAGTGCTGGAAAAACTCACCAGGACAGAGACAGACCAAATAGTTCTTAAAAGGATCATCGCCTAAACTCACCGAGCATCTACTAAGCCTTAATAGGAAAAATACTAGAGTACTAGTAGGTCTATTAACAGGGCATTGTAGGCTTAACAAACATATGTATAATATCGGTCTGACAGAAGAGACCTTGTGCCGATTCTATCAGGAAGAAGAAAAAAGTGCAGAACACGTATTGTGCTACTGCGAAGGTCTAGCAAGACTGAGATTCCTTGCACTTGGAGAAGAAAAACCAAGGGCAGCTAGCTATACCGGAGAACTACTTCCAATCTATGGAGTCTACTACAAAAGACCGAATTAGACAACGATTAAAGGATATCCATAATAGATCTGAAAAGGTCGAGGTGGGAGAGGCCACATGGCCCACAGTCCTAATTAAAAACTGAGATCTAGCGGCCACAAGATGGTACCTATGATCGTAACTCTGGCAGGAATTTTCTGTCTTGTTTGGCAGGACCACCAGGAAGTGTTATTTGTCAGGATTTAATTTAGAATCACTGTAAAGGAGACGTCAGACAACTCAAAGTTGTTGGGTATGCAAATCGTCAGATGGCTAGGCCACTGTCAGATTCCCTCAAATTTAGAATTTACGAAAAGTCTGCTTTTTTATTAGATCTCACTTGCTAATAATATTGGCTTCAAAGCTTTTTAACCAAAATTACATTCTATACATATTTTAGTTGTTTAAGTGCCATTTTATGTTAAAATGAGTTAATTATTAAACATGAACAATATCAAAAAATGTTTAATGCAATTACATTACGAAAATTGATTGAATTTGTGTTAATTAACGCACACAAATTTACTAAGGCTAAACAAATATACGCCATGAATCCGTAACTGTTCAAATACCTCTAGCATTAAGATAATTAATTTATGCACACATATAGGGCTTACGCAGAAATACCTAGGGCGTTTCAACCAATAGCATCCCAAAATGTCTTCAAATTTGTAACACTTTTAACTAAGAAATTGCTAAGTTCAACTTGCAATAAATAATGCTACATTTTTTAAAATCATTAAAATTCTATATTAGGATTGGTACATACAATACTAGTATTAAAAAATAATATTGTTTATAGTTAGGTTAGTAAGCTGATTTTTGTAATTTTTTTTTTGTTAATTGTAAATTAGATATTGTGCTTTTATTGATTGATAAAATATACTAATTTACTTTACCTCCGCCCATGTTAACTTTTTTCGATAAAATAAAAATCATTATAAGAAGTAAAATAGCATTCCGGTATGATTGTGGATTTTTATCAAATTAATTATTATTGCCATGCAATTGGCTATTAAATTTAGTCAATTTTAGTTTTATTCATTGTATGTATAAGGTAAGTTCTCATAAAAAACCGTCCGTTTTTCCCCAATATCGACACAAGCGCTTTCAACTGCTTCCTGTATTAAAATTATAGTCCAGGAAAGTTAGGAAAAATAGCGGAAATTTTTAGGGACAGCAGATATCGAAATGCGTTTTTCTGCATTGCATTCAGGAAGGTCCCAGGAAAAAGTCTGGTTTAGCCATTTTTTGAAAAATGCCTTCTGGGCCGGAAAATGCATTTTCCAATTGCATCATTACATACACCATTATAGGAACGACTGGAAACTCGGAAAAATCGCTCAGAAATCGTTACTTTAGGGTTTTTGGGGCTGCCGAACTCGATTTTTGCATTATAATTACCCGGGGGTGCACGAGGGTAGCTCTGTGGGGGTGCGCGGGGGGTGAATTGGGGGAGAAATAGCAGCGTGCATTAAAATCGCTCCAAACTCGTTACTCGGGGATTTTCGGGGATGCCGAATTCAATTCTGGCATTGTAATTACCTAGGAGCGCTCGGGGGCGGCTCTGCGAGGGTATCTGGGGATAATTCTGGGGGAAAACTCCCGAGTAACGAGTTTGGAGCGCTTCCAATGGATTATGCAATTTCTCCCCCAGAATGACCCCCCGGTTACCCCCGCAGAGCCGTCCTTGAGCGCCCCCGGGTAATTATAATGCCAGAATTGAGTTCGGCTTCCCCTAAACTCCCCGAGTAACGATTTTGAAACGATTTTCATGCACGTTGCCATTTCTCCCCAATTCACCCCCGCGCACCCCCACAGACCCACCCCCGGGTAATTCTAATGCCAGAATCGAGTTCAGCAGCTCTTAAAACCTCCTGAGTAACGATTTTCGAGCGATTTTTCCTAGTTTCCAGTCGTTTCTATAATGGTGCAAGTAATGATGCTATTGGAAAATGTATTTTCCGACCCAGAAGGCATTTTTCAAAAAATGGCTAAACCAAACGATATAGACTTTTTTCCTGGGACCTTCCTGAACACAATGCAGAAAACCGCATCTCGATATCTGCCGTCCCTAAAAATTTCCGCTATTCCGGTCGATTATTTGATCTAAATGTCCCTGGACTATTAGCAGAATTTTGAAGATAAAATCGGAATTTTTTTATCGTAGTAGCTCGCAAATGTTTGAAATCAAATATAAATAATAAGAATAAGTCGTTTTTTTTACTTTTTCTCGGTAATGCAATGCGTCACACTGGCATTGTCTATCGTATTTTAACTCAGTCGTGATTACAGTGGTGTGTTTATTAGAACTATTTGTCAAACCAAATAATTGTCCCGCTTTAAAATTCAGACTTTGGTAAAATCAACAAGTTAATGCTATTATATGAATAGAGCTGTGATATTATCACTTATTAATAATAAAATTCAGTAAACTAAGTGACTGAAAGAGCATCACGTGACACAGGAATTATATTCTCAAGGATAATACCACAAGAGATTTTTTGAAAACATTTTGTCTACATACTTTGTAGGGAAACAACAAAACAAAAAATTGTCACCTCGCGTGGCATTTGGAAAGATTACAGGTACGATTTAACGTTAATTTTATTTGTTTACAAAATTAATATTTAGACAAACAAAATGATTTTTGTTAATTTTTCATCACCGTTTTGACAAACTTCACATTGAGCGAAAACCCTGCAACAAATACTGTTAATTTCTTATTTTATTTCTACTCGCAATTATTTGCTTAAACCTGTAGAATAATTAAAAAACATAAATATAATTTAAGGGTGTGTCCGTGTAATAGCATTTCTTTATGGTTTAGGTTATTAAGTGAATTTCTAGTTGAAGCTATTCACCATAATTCTTGCATGTTAAGTGCTGGCGTCCCTACATTGATTTGAAATGCATTTAGCTCTCCACGTTTCCACCAATTAAGAGTTAATGTACAAGGGTAAATATGTGATTTATTGTTAACCGGTAGAACTCAACATTATTCTCTTAATAAAAGTGTTTTACGGGCAAAAAATGAATTGTTTCAAGTGACTGACCATATTTTAATTTGTCATTATTATATTAAATTTCGAATAAGTATGAATACAAATTTAATTTGTATCTGAAGATAGACGTTTACCTAATAATTACTAAAACGCTGTTGTTGATTAAGGACATAACATCAAAAAATATACAGTACTTTAATTTCGAAACTAGAAACTTTTTTATGTAAATTTAAAAGAAAAAAACAGTAATTGATATGATAAACTGCATATAAGACAAAAATGATTTTGTTTATAGGAAATTTAACTACTTTTAGCCTCATGGAAAATTTTATAAGTTACTCACCCTATATAAATAACATTTTATTGTTTAAATCGGTTTTTTGCTTGGTCAGTAATATGGATTAAGTTTTTTTTACTATTTTTTGCTAGTTTTTGCTATTTTTGTTATTTTTGTTATTTTTGTTATTTTTGTTATTTTTGTTATTTTTGTTATTTTTGTTATTTTTGTTATTTTTGTTATTTTTGTTATTTTTGTTATTTTTGTTATTTTTGTTATTTTTGTTATTTTTGTTATTTTTGTTATTTTTGTTATTTTTGTTATTTTTGTTATTTTTGTTATTTTTGTTATTTTTGTTATTTTTGTTATTTTTGTTATTTTTGTTATTTTTGCTGTTTTTGCCATTTTTGCTATTTTTGCTATTTTTGCTATTTTGCTATTTTCTCTCTCTTTCTTTTCTTTCTATTTTTTGCTATTTTTGCTATTTTCTGTTATGTTTGCTATTTTTACTATATTTGTTACCTTCGTTATCTTATCCATTGTCGCTATTTTTGCTATTTTTGTCATTGTTGCTATCTTTGCTATCTTTGCCATCTTTGTCATCTTTGCTGTCTTTGCTATCTTTGCTATCTTTGCCATCTTTGCTATATTTGCTGTCTTTGCTGTCTTTGCTATCTTTGTTACCTTTGCTATCTTTGTTACCTTTGCTACATTTACTATATTTGTTATCTTTGCTATCTTAGCTACTGTCGCCATCTTTGCTATTTTTGTTATTGTTGCTATCTTTGCTACCTTTACTATATTTGTTATCCTTGCTATCTTAGCTATTGTCGCTATCTTTGCAATCTTTGCTAGCTTTGCTATCTTTGTTATCTTTGCTATCTTTGTTATCTTTGCTATCTTTGCTATCTTTGATATCTTTGCTATCTTTGTTATCTTTGCTATCTTTGCTATTTTTGTCATTTTTGCTAAAAACTTGAATTTTATAAACAATAAAAATGAATACTTATACAACAATTTCTTAAATTTAATCCAGATTTTGAGGTTTTATTCTTTGATTAATCCAATCTGTTTTTCTGAGGTTAGATAAACTTTCATTTTGTCTCGCGACGTCACTAATTTCACACCTACCTTATTCCACTTAGACTACGCCTATGACAAAATAAATAGTAGATCTTATGTAAACAAAAGTTAATTGATCACCCCTGATCAAAACATGTTTTGCTTGCGGGTCGTGTCATTTTATTTATGTATGAAACAAAATTATATGAACTGTAAATTTTAACATTTAACACACCCTGCAGTTATGGTATAATATTGCATCTCAGTCTATTTGCATTAACTGACGTAATCTAGTTCATCACAAAAGGCATTTTCTGCTGCAAAGCCCGTGGTCTTTTTCATTCTGTGGTTAAACTAATTACTAAGAACGTTAATTCCGATTGTAAACCACCCTGAATCCATTTTTACCAACGGGAACGAGCGCGTCGACAGAGCAGGGGTGTCTGTAATAACGACTTAATACTTGTTAATTAGTCAAAAGTCTCTAGATGGCAGTATACACACATCCAGGCAGTAAATCAGAGTAATGAGTTAGGAAGCCGAGTTGAAATTCATTTCCAAAGATTTGTCGAGGTTGAGATAGTTCATGCTGTTGGCTTGGGGTAATAAACTTTAGACTTTGAATAAATAGATTCTTCAATCGAGAAAACACTAACAGTCATAAAAATCGTTTATTGCTTATAATGGTGACTGTTTGGGACCGACAATTAATTTAATCTCTTACTGAGTTTTGACAGCTGTTTAAGATCATTTTTAAAATAAACGACAAATTTTACGTATTTTTTATTTTAGCTGGATTACTTTTAGATTCAATCAGTCAAATAAAAATAAACGTATGGACAATTTTATCGTAACTTTTAATTTATGGGTTTTTGTTAATCTTTTGGTATAATCTGGTCATGAATTTTTTTATATCACTACAGGATTGTATTTGAACTTAATCTAATCTGAAGTCTAAAGCAGTATTTTAGTTCTGCTAAAAAATTAATTATTCTCAATTAATATAGTAATTATTGAATTTTAAAAATACAAAATTTGTATAGCGAGCTTTTTTCCTGAAGTAAGCAATGTTATGAAATCGTAACCTTTGCATAAAATATGTGTAGATTATGTAACTTTTTGATTTAATAGTATTTTCCGTATTTGCAGAGGACAAGCTTGAAAAACTGCGATTGATTTTCCTTACCAGGTAAGTCAATCAATCTTTTAAATCATTCTGCTAGACCTATATAAGTATATAATTTCGCTTAAAAATCATATTAATAACTCCCGGAAATATATTATCAAAATTGCAACTTGTGCGAGAAATATTTAACTCGATATTAGTTGGGAAAGGGATTTTGCGTATAGTGACCTTTATAAATGACATTATATTAAATAACCTTTATCAACCTAATCAACAGTGTATATTTTTTACCTGTGTGGTGGGGTGACCTTTCATTTTGACCTTATTAATATATGTGACGCATGATTTCTTTGTTATGTCGATTTTCTGGTATTTGCTCTCGTATAGGGTTACATAGGTCGGATTAACAAATAAAATCTTTGGTAAGATATATACCTTTTTTAAATTGAATATGATTTAAGCATATATTAGATTATATTCAATTTAAATAAAGTAAAATAATTTTTATTCTTATACCTTTTTTTCCAACTAAAAATTCAAAAAGTTTTATAACTTTGTAACATTCAAATTGTCTCGTTACAAATTATAAAAATAAACCCACATTGCATAGTATTTAATTTACAAATCGCTCTTAATAATCCAAATAACAATTTGGAGTACTATAATTATTGTTCTAAGAACGTCTACACAACAAATGGGATTAAAATGTGTGCTTAAAATCTACTAGTTCGACTGTCGAAGCCATGTGCATTGATAGCCTAACTGATAGAGACGGGGACGCGCATAGTTTGAAGGTTCCACCTTCAATCCCGTGTGCTCCACCAAATACACCTTGTATAACATTTTCTATTCCAAATTTTAACACATTTACATCCTCTGCACATTTCTTTGTTACATGAAACCTTTGAGCACCTGAATCTAATAATAGTTTAACAATTTTACATTTATACTTGCATATAGTTGTTAAGGTGTTTTGAAATGTTTGTACATTTTCCCCACCAGAGATGCTACAAATGTTATGAAGCTTTTTGACTATATTTTATTTAATGATTGACAGTATACCGATCATTCTGTCATTAAACAAAATTACAGGGGTTACACCAGAACATATTACAAAATAAGGAAATATGATAATTAAAACATTAAAAAACCCAAAACTATTCCTAACAGGTGGAGTATTTACCCCAACGCTTTATTAAAGAGGGGAGAACAGAGTTAAATGATAATTAATTTATCGAACCGAACAGTTTTCTTGTAACTAACAAATTTCTATTTAATAAAATCCAGAGAAATTAGTAAATCTGATAGCAACGTTAAGGGAGTAGGGAAACGCATCGTTTCACAGCCACCTGAGGCTTTTTTCCCAGGGGTCAAACTTGGCGACATGAAGACGTGCCAAGCGCCCCATTGGCTCTATGCCCTACGGTTTTATGTTTGGTAGTAACTACACAACCTACTGTTGAAAGATTTCGGGTTTAAATCAAATCGATTCTGTTTAGAATTGAATTAATTAAAAAAGTGAAACGGTGTAATTTTAATTTAACTTTTGTTTCGATTAATTTTAATAAAAAAATATTTCGTTCTCCATTATTTTGTCACTGTTGAATCCTAGTCGTTCTTGTATTTTAATTACTAAGATAAATACAGTCTCGTAGTGTTGATTTACATATTTTCTCCATTAATTTTTGTTCTTTGTCTTTTTCATTAAGTTTTTTTTATTACTGTTTTCTATGTCCATTTCTTTTAGCAAGGACTAATTTAGTTTTACTTTTTAATTCTTCAGCTTCCCTTTGCACCCTTTACGTTGAAGTTTCGGTGGTACATGAGTCACTGCCAGTAGGATTCTTCTTACAGTGTAGGGACTTACAAATTGTTTCCTAAATTGGCATGATCGTCTTTGTTAGCAAAGACTTTTTTGATAATTTTTCCATTCGAAAGGGTATAACGATGCAATCTGGTTTTCTGACGTAATTACTAACCGACAAATTTGATAATTTGAGAATCTTTTACATGGATGAATGAACGATTTTTGTTACGGGCTTTGTTTGAATTAATTTCAAAACTGTAATTTTCTTCATGGATCTTGTACACTTTTCCGTCGCTGATATTTTAATAAAGGACCATCCAGTCGACTTAAGGCAAATTTATCTTGTATAACTACATTTATTTAGAATTCAACTATGCAACTATGAACTTCATCGTACAACGCATATCGAAAAACTAAACTCTGATGTCAGGATCATCGACTTATGTAGCTCCCTTGAACCTTCTCGAACCTTCCAGATGTTTCTTGACGCAGAATGACATTTCTAGACGGTTCTTGCTTCTTGCTAATATTGCTTCCTCCTTTCTAATTATTCGTCCCAAATAACTTGATTACTGGGAGGTGTACGACCCTCTTCATCAGTAGGAGGCTGCCTTCCAATAATAAAAGCCTTCTAGGCAATAAATCTATGTGAATTTTCTTTTATAATATTCTAACATTACTGAACTATTTCCTCAATATATTAAACAGTGAAAAAATTGAGAAAATGGAAGAAAAGAACGAAATTGTGAAAAAGGCATCAACAATTGCAATAAAAACTATTTCAGGATCTAGAATATACTCCATTAAAGGTTCTACATAAGAAATATAAAAAAATTTTTTTCAGTTACAAGCTTAATATGAACAAACATTTTTAAATGTAACACGTTCTTCAATATATTTATGTTAAACTAGAATTATTATATCCAAACGCCCTTCTTAATGAAACTTCTGAGATAGGTATATCAAATGTCTCTGTGTAAAATATCCTTTTATAAAATGATATATTGAAAAGATACTACCAACAAAAGACACACAATTACCTTTTAAAAATTAAAAGTTTAACAACCGTAAATACATAAATATCCTTTAATAGTATAGAGACATTTCTAAAATGTGAACTCATTATGCTACTTTTTTATATTTCTTCGGTTGTAAAATACTGAACACTTTCAAAAGCAATGAAACAACTTAGTTCCTTTCTAAAAGTCTTGTCGGAAAGAAAAATACATTAAAATCTCCGTGTATAGCAACATAGTAAGCTTTAGACAGTCCAGTGACGTGTATTTCAAATTTTCAGAAATTTTTTTGAAACAATATTACCGCGTTATTACCTGAATAAACCAAATTTCAGATCCATATGAAAATGGATCCTAGGATTCAAGCAGTAAAATAGTCCATTAATGAGAAAAATTGGTAGGAAAAAAAGAAGACCAAAACTGTGATAAATCTGTTAAGTGTGTCAGAAAACGCCAAATACGGATTGTGTCGAATAGAAGATGAAAATACAAAACTTTCTGCTAGTGTCAATAAAAGATCCACAAAAGGTTTTCCATGATAAATAATTATTTATTTTCACCAATTTGAATTTGTTGCGTTATAATTTTTAATTTAATTACAAACAATCCAATGTAGGTGAATGCTTAACACTAAATACTAATCATATTTTTTGAAAATACTAACAAATGAAAGTAGATACTTATTACATTCTATACACATTCTCAGTATATGCACAGCATGTATAATCAAGGTCCTGTAACATATACTTTGTATATTCTGAGAATGTTCTAATTGCAAATAAAATATATTCTTAACATATATACACTATTGCATATTGTAAAAAGTATATACTAGGAATACGTTAAAAATGTTTGTTATCTGAGTAACATTAGATAATGACGTTCAATACTTCCTAGAACGGTGGGTAGGACAAAGAGGTTCGTTGAATAGCCACCTAAATATCTAGATTTAATTTCTTTCTCTAGATTATGTTTTACTCGATTACGTAACATTATAAAAGAGTGAAATATTACATAGTCGGTTCGCAGAACGGAAAAGGAATTCTGATCGCGCTTCGTTCGCTTTTGCTCGCTCATGTTACATAACAACATTTTGTTACGACTCTTTCGCCGCTTTCATCAAATAAATGTAACCTTTTTATAATATTCTCAAATATAAAATAAAAATGAAATGTCTGCGCCACTGGTTTGGCGCACAGCTTTGTTGGAGTGATAGATTTATAGGTATTTTGTCGGTGACAGTAGAATTGGTTAATCTATCGTACAAAAAGAAGCGACTTTCTACGGTCTTCTCTTTTAGTTACTCCAATTTGTTCCAAAACAAGGTAAAATCTGCGATCGTAAAATATTTGTGTTGACGGCTTTACTGAAGACCTACTACTACAAAAGAGGAGTCTGTGTTTATGTAGGTTTTCTTAATGGTGTCTTTTTGGACAGCAGCCAATAAACTTTGAAGTCAGACGACAAATTAGTTATATTTCAAATGTATTGTAGTATTGTACTAATTTTCTCTCAATGTTATAACATAAATATTGTCTAATGTCCGGTACCTACTATAAAAACCTATATAACCTTATTTATTATTATACATTATCTATGTAAGTTTTTCATGTCATGAATATTAGAAATTATGGATAATGAAAAATATAGTTAAAAGATTTTTATCTGACTAACCAATTGACGGATTTTGTTAACAATTGATAAGAATAATAAATAGATTGTGATTTTTTCATATTAAATATCTACTTTGACAGTTCTGTCATTTCTGCTTATACCGGAAGCAGATGTCAACTTTCTTATTTTAAATAGGAAACCTTATTTTTTTTTAATTTCGATAGAATATGAAATTTTAGAACTAAATAAAGTTTATAGCTATACGTAAAATTTGTATCTAATTTATGAAATAAAATTTATTAAAAAAAAAAATTGGTAGTGTGGGAATTAAAATAATATTTTTGGCTAGAGTTGATTAAAATTTGAAAGTTTTTTCAGTCTTTTTGTCAAGTAGGTGCGTCTTAAAAGATACGTGGAAACATGAGAAAAATAATATCGTACATTTAGAACAGGTAGCGAATTTAGAGAATTTTTTTTAAGTCAAATACTTTATTAAACGGTTTTGTTCATATGAGTGTATTTAAAACTGTTTATTTACAAGATGCCAAATTTAGTATAATTTAAAATAGTCTTTACTTTACGATGACAAATAACATAAAGGAATATTTCGTCGTGGAATACCCTGT